AATGTTATGTGTTTTTTATCACACACACACAAAAAAGAAATCTGAAGTGGCTAAGTTAATATTTGGCAAAATAGAATACTACTACAGATAAAGAGAAAAATTTCATAATGATAAGAGAATCAATATATTAGGTACAAAACACTTGTAATATCAGACCTTCAAAATACCTTTAAAAAAACTAACAGAACTAAGGAGAGAAATAAGCAAACCCACAATCACAGTGAAAGATATTAAGACCCTGCTCTTGATAATAGGTAGAACAATTAGAATTTTAAAGATCAATAAATATATAGACTTTATAGACAACAGTATAATCCAGGGCTTGGTGAACTATAGTGTATGGGCCAAATCCCACAAGAAGTTCTCTTAGAAAACAGCCATTTGTTTACGTATTGTTTATGGCTGCCTGTGGCTGCTCTCACCAAATTGAGTAGATGCAACAGAGACCATATGGCTTTAAAAGCCTAAAGTATTTTACTACGGGGCCCTTCAGGTGAAATTTCGCTAACTTTGAATTCATTTCAAGGGTGTTTGTGATTGCTTGTTGGAGCATTCGTACAATAGCTCCTTCAGAGTCTTCAAAAGATAATTCCGATGTCTGTGTCAATCTGGTTGTTAGTGTCTATTAATTGATTTTCCTCAAGTGAGTTGATTATGTTCTTGTTTTTTCATATGCCAAGTAATTTTGAATTGTCTCCTGAAAATTTTAAATATTACGTATGAGTCCTGGTTGGGTGGCTCAGCTGGTTGGAGCATCATCCCATCCATGAAAAAGTTGTGGGTTTGATTCCTGGTCAGGCCATATAACTAAGTTGCAAGTTTGATCCTCTGTTGGGGTGTGTTCCAATCTGTATTTCTCTCTCACATTGATGTTTCACCATCTGTCTCTCCCTCTCCTCTAAAATCAATAAACATGTCCTCAGGTGAGGATTTAAAAAATTAAATATTATATAATGAGACTCTAGGTCTTGTTTAAATCCTATGTAGCATGTCCATATTTTTGTTTTAGGCAATAGACCTGCTTAGGTTCAGGCTTCAGTTCAACCTGCCTCCTATGAGCTGTGGTTCAAATGTAAGTTCAGTTGTCAAAGCTCTTGCAGTGCCATTTGGATAGATCCTGAATATGTACCACTCGGTGGTCATGTGGGACCTGGTTGATGGTCTGTTAGTTGGGTTCTTAAAGTCACTGGTATACTGATCAGATCTGTGTGTACACAGCTTGGTGGTAAGCCCAGAGTTCATATTCAATTTTATGGGATTTCCCCGTAAAGTTATGGAAGAGTGTCTTTCTCTCTACTCTCTCCCCAGTACTTTCCAGTTCCCTACAATTACCCTTTTTGGTTTTATGGACAGGAAGTTGGGACCAGAAAGTTATTCCACCATTGTACACTTCTGGGACTGCTCCTATCTTTGGCCAAGTGGTGGAAGAGACAGAAAGGGGGAAAAAGCAATAAAGATGGGTCGGTTGGAGGGGAATGTTCCCCTTCCTCAGAGTTTTTGCACCTTGCTAGGTCCTGCTGTGGCCTTTGCTGCTGCCACTATGGAATGGCTTGGGGGCTGGGGTTCAAGAAAATAGAGAAAGGAAAAAAAACCATGCAGAATTCTATACTCCCTCTCTGGGTGTTAGGTGTTTACTGTTACTCAGCCAGAACTGAAGGGCTTTTCCTGGAGCTCTGTCTGCACACATCGCAGGCCACCCTCTGGGCTTCAGGCTGCATTGCATTCAGGCCAGCAGATACCAAAGCAACAAAAATGACAAACTCACCTTTAGTTCTCCAAATCTTCTCCAACCAGCCTGCTACTATTTACTTGTCAGTTGTCTTCTGGGTGCTCTATTCATTCAGTCCAGGTTTTGTCCAGCTTTGTCCATTCAGTCCAGCTGCATTCACTGATGGAGTCATGAAGGCCTGTGTAGCAGGAGCAGGGTGAGGGTGGGCAGCTGCGACAGGGTGAGGTCTGGGGTGATGCAGCGGCCAGCCATGCAGGGCCCTGGAGAGCACGACCAGGAACTTTGTGTTCCAAATTAATGAGGAGCCTGGAGAGGACAGTGAGCAGGGGCACTCCGTGTTCCAAAAGTGACTTAAATTGTAAGGCCACTTTGCCCTCTGAAGATCAGACTGGGAGAGAGGAAACAGCCAAGTGAGGAAACAGAAAAATAATTCAGGGGGCCATGGTACAGGACAAAGACCATGGTGATGAAGGAGTGAAGAAAAGTGGGCAGAGTTTTGATTTGCTTCTGGTTACAGAAGAGCAAGAGAGGGGGCAGGAATGAGGCTTGGTAGGGTGGAGGTGGAAGAAACTGGACAGCATGGCAGGTTGGTGGGGAGAAATCGAGAGTGCTATTTGGGCCCCACTGAGTCTGAGAAGACAAGTCTTGATGCAAGTAGAGATGCTCAGGAGGCATCTGAGTGTAGGAGTGTGGTGCTCGGAGAGAGAAGGGGAACAGCTGAAGGAACATGCGCTGAGGGGCAAGGGGAGTACTTGTGCATGCACATAATATGGATCCCCCTTTTCTGCTTTATTGGTAAAGAATCTAAAGACAGATGCAACTATGTTTTTTTTTAAAGCTTACATATGATAGACTGAGAATTACATGAATTAATAAAAGTAAGATGCTTAGAAAAGTGCATGGCACACATTCAGTGTTTGTTGCATCTTTTTAAACTTCAATTCCAATGGAAACAAATAAATTTACCTAGTAAGAGGTCTTTGCATAACTTGCTATCTGTCTGAAAAAAAAAGTCAGATGCTCCACCTTATATTTAAGTAAAAATGCATTTCATATCGATTAAAGATGTGTGTGGAAGAAACCAAACTAGAAAAGTATGAGGAAAATATCTGGATGAACAGTTGCCTAGCCTCGGCATAAATGAGGCCTTTATTAAGCTCCACAGAAAACCCAGACTCAATAATGAAAAGAGTTTGACCACATGCAAAATTCTGTATGGCAGAAAATGCTATAAACCATGCTAAGATAAGAGGTAAGTAAATATTGTATTATATATGACACGCAGGAGATGGATTCCCCCAAAATACAAAGACCTCCTAGAAACTGATAAACAACCCAACAGATTTCTCTTCATAAGAGAAAATACAAACCATCAAGAAATACATGAAAGGAGGCTTTATCTCACTAGTATTTAGGTGAACCAATAGCCTTTGCCTTTTTACCCATCCAGTTTGATTCAGCTTTCTCAGCATTGATGTGGGGAGTGTGAATTGTTACAAACTTTTTTTGAATAGTCTGGCAAATAAAAAATGTGCATATCATTTCGCTCAGGAATATCTCTTTTAGGAATTTGGACAAAAGAAATAAAAAACACCAGTATATACAAGATGTTTGCTGCCATACTGTTTGAACTAGCAAAGCACTAAAAAAATGTTGAATGTCTTATCAGTAGGAAAATGGTCAAATAAATTGTTTTATGACATTTTATAATGTCAGCTGTTAAAAAGCATATATGGGAACTATCTATACTGACCTGGAAAGATGTCTGTGGTCTGTTATTAAGAAAATAAGGCAGGGGGTGGGGAGGGAAGGCAGGAAACTGTACTTAAACAACAATAAAAAGTGTAAAAAAAAGATAAAAGAAGGCAAGTTATGTAGTAAGATACTAACACTTTGGTTTTGGTATATTGTGTATGCTTTGGTTTTTTGGTGCCTGTGTGTGGTGAATAGCAGTATTTATACATTCATACATGTATTTATGTGTGCAAAGGGCATAGACAGAGAAGATACCCAACTACTAATGTTGATCACCTCAGAGAAATAAGATGGAAAGGTGGGAAAAACAGGCATACTAACTTTTCTTTTGAAAAATTAAAATGTCTATATAGGTATAAATATATACTTTCTCTTTACAAACCTTTGTGTCATTCGACTCCTTTCTGAAATTAAAAATGAAGGATAAAGATCTAATATCTAGATTATGTTTTTTTTAAAAAACTCTTAATCACAAAAGGCAAACAACACAATTTAAAAAGGGGCAAAGGACTGGAACAGATATTTCTCCTCAGATACACAAATTACCAACAAAATTCATGAAAAGATGTTGAATGTCATTAGGGAAATGCAAATCAAAACCACAAGGAGAGGCCACTTGACAACCACTAGGATGATTAGAATTAAAAAACAAAAACAGACAGTAAGTGTTGATGTGTTCAGAGTAGCACTATTCACAATGGCCAATAGGTAGAAACAACTCAAATGTCCATCAACAAATGAATGGATAAACAACACGTGGCATATACATACAATGTGATATTATTCAACCATAAAAACGAAGTTCTAATATATGTTACAAGGTGAAGGACCTCAAAAACCTTACACTAAGTAGAAGACGCCAGACACAAAAGATCACAAGTACATGAAATGTCCAGAGCAGGCACATCCATAGAGACAGAAGGCAGACTAGTGGTTGCCAGGAGTTGGAGGGAGGGGAAAACAGGGAGCAACAGCTGCATGGGCATGGGGTTTCTCTTAGGGTGATAGGAATGTTTAGGCACAAGGTAACACTGGTACTTGCAAAACATTGTAAGTGTACTGAACACTACTGAATTTTTCACACTAAAATGGTTAACTTTTTATGTTTGGTGAATTTCACTTCAATTAAAAATGGAAAGGGGAGGGGGCGGGAAGCTCTTGGTGCACGTGCCTAGAGCTGCCTGGATGGGAGGTCTCCATGGGCCCTGCATCCACCGGCCTCTGCCAAAGTCAGTACCCCAGCTCGAGAATCTAGAGGGCGACACGGGCTGAGGAAATGACCACAGGGGTATCAGAGAAGAGGATATCGGGAGAAACAGACGAAGCGGCGGGACCACTGCTCGCTACATCGCTACCACAGCGGGTCCAGCGGGTCCGCCCAGGCTCGGGTCTGAGAACCCTCGCTGGTGCGGGGCGGGGCCGGGGCGGGGCCGGGGCGGGACGGACACAAAAGAAACCGGAACTCCTCATCTAGAGCGCCGGTTTCCGGAGGGAGCTGGGATCCTGACGTCAAAGTCCTTCCCGCCGGGAACCCAGCTTCCGGAATCTCTTCTAGTCGCCGGGTCTTAAGGGCGTGGGGTCCGTGGTGGCGATGAGGCAGAAGCACTACCTTGAGGCCGCGGCGCGGAAACTGCAAGACTGCTGCCCGGGCCAGGCCCGCTATCTCCTGTAAGACTCGGCCGGGACGGGGAGCGGGAGGAGAGCTTCGAGGTGTCCCCTCGTTCCTCACGAGTTCTCTTTCTCTTTTACAGCTGGGCCTACAGCTTGTCGCACGGTAGGGAGAACGCCCGTCGGTTGTGGGTCAGGCTCTCACCGCCCCGTACCCCTCCATCCGCATAGCACTCAGGATGATCCAAACCGGAAACCTGATCGACCCACTACCCTCATAACCCCCGCGCAGAGCTGAATGTGCTTTAACTTGCCGGACGTGTTAGCGGTATTTGACACAGTGATCAGCCTTCTCGAAATGGTTTCCTTACTTGACTTCCCGGGCATCTCCTACCTCTTTAGCCAATGTCTTGATCTGCTTTACTCGTTCCTCCTAAATTCCCCAGTCTGTAAATGCTGGAGTGTCCCAGGACTCCACCCGCGGACCTCTTCTTTTCTAGCTTCACTCACTTCCTTGGTGACAGTTTTTCATCCAGTCTTGTGGCCTTTAGATTCTGTATACTGAGGATTTCCAAGTCTATATCCCCAGTCCAGACCTCCCCCCGAATTCTAGACTGATACTCAGATGCTTTCTGGGCAACTTTTGAATACCTATTGGGCCAAAACCTGAGCTTTACCCCACAACACAGCTCTTTCCATTTCAGCAAATAAAAACTCTTTAGAATTAATCAGCCCCAAACCTTGGGGCCATTCTTGACTCAATAACAGCATAATTGCAGACAAAGCCCAGCCCACAAACTACAAAATTGTGCTATTTAAAAAGGAAACAAAGTCACAGTAATTGTTATTTTGTGATAAATGTGTTTGTAAAATAGGCGACACAGCCTTTTTTCACTTAATACAAGTAATGAGCAACAGAGTGAGGGATTATCTGTTGCTAAAAGGAGTGAATGAATATAGTGTTTTGCAAAATAAATTATTACCATTTATCTTTTAATTTTTTATACTTTGAGTTTGCTTAAGGAGAATGTGTATGTGCTTATATTAAATATATACCCTTTTCACATATCAGCAGTGTGTTTGAGGTAACAAAATATTCTAATTTGTTGAATCATGAATTTCATTTGTATAATTTTAGATGCTAAAAGCACTTTCGAAGGAACATGTCCATACTGTTTCCAGTTGCTGGTTCTGGATAATTCTCGGGTGCGCCTCAAACCCAAGCCCAAACTGACACCCAGAATACAGAAACTTCTTAATCGAGAAGCAAGAAATTATACACTCAGTTTTAAAGAAGCCAGAATTTTGGACAAGTACAAAAACTCCAAAAGTATATTGGTAAGATTTCAATTCTTAAACAAGAATTTTTTCTTTCACTTAAAATGAGGTTAAGAATCAGCCTGAACATTACTCAGAAATTTGTAGTAGTGTATTGAGACTGTCAAAATATATACCTATTTTTTTCCTAATGATCAGTGTTTCAGCAAAAGTACAGCCTATTTTTGTTTTTCACAGTGTTTTCCAAGTATCATGAGCTGTCTCTTGTTCTCAGATCGCATTGCTGAGCACAATTCTTCTTTCAAATTTGAGGGTTTCTTGAGCTGACCAATGTGACATCACCCGACCTGCAGCTACCACTAAATTATTTTTTTCACTCCATGGTCCTTTTCTCCAAACAACAGTAGCTTATTTGTTAGGTACCAGTGTCACTTCTCCAGTCATCCCCTCCTCCATGTCGGAGTAGGTATTTAAGTCCAACAACGGTAAATATATCTTATATTCCTCCATTAAACCTTTACTGAGGGTCTATCTTATGCCAAATGATGCTAAGTACTGAAGCTATAAAATGGAATAAAACCCCAAAATCAAATTGCTTGGGGTTTATTACACAAAGCCCAGTATCAGATATGTCATTACCAGGCACTGTGGTGGGCCATGGGCATTATGATAGCTGATGTCTGGCGCAAGATTCCAGTTAGTGATAACATGGACTGGAACTCCCATACTTAGGAGTTTAATAGTATTGGACCAGTAAATGCATTTTGCTTTATCATAAAATCAACTTTAATCTATATCCAGCCTCTTTGAAGAATATAAAGCAGCTTACATAGACCTTTGATACATGCAGATCTTCCATTTTCATCTGCTCATGCACATCAGAGTACTTCGCAGCTAAGCTAGTTTGTAGTCACCTCATTGAGGCCTGGGCTGAATCCTGAGCATTATGAGTCAGGTACACAAAAAGATAGGCATTTACCGTAACTAGAAAATGGACCATTTCTTGAAAAATGAACCCTGAAAAGAAACCAGCCTGTAGAGCTAATGAAGTATGGGAATGTGAAAATTGATTTGATGGGTTTTGTAAGTTACTTTAAACCAATATTTACAGAGTCACTAAGGATTTGAAGGAGTCACATTTTCAGTAATATTTGCCATGTTTTATTGGGAAATTCATCTGCAAAAAATGTTAAATGTTTACTGCTATTACGATGCAGCCTCCAGGTGTTAAAGGGTATCATTCCCAGTCTCCTTCTCCACTGTCCCTCAACATGGCTTTACTCGGGGAAAGGAGAGACTTTGTTATCTCTAAAAGCTATTTTAAATGAAATGAAAATGTTTAGCCACTGATTTTTTTATTGGAGATTTTCTCATTTTAAATTTGTGTTTTGTCTGATTCCTGCTGCTAGATTACAAGCTCCCCCAGATCAGCCTGTTACTTACCCTGTAGTACCTGGTCTACTCCCTTACATACAGGAATTGATGAACGTGTACTTTATTGGAGTAAATTATAAGACAAATCACGCCAAATATTTCTTCTTCCTATGGTAGTTGGTTACTTGTAAAACATGCAACAAAACAGTTAAACATCATGGTAAAAGTAGAAGCTTTCTGTCCACGTTGAAGAGCAATCCTGCCACTCCTGTGAGTAAACCCAACCTGAAGACACCAGAAAGAAAGAATCTCAGTTCTGCAAACTTAAATCATAGACTGTCTGGTTCCAAAGGCAAGAGCCCAGTGTTGATTTTCAGGTATCTTAATTCATTAAGTTATTTGAATTGCCAGTGTTAACTCCGGAGTATTCTAGTTTCCTCTGTTATATACACTCCGTAAACTTGCCGTGCAGTTCAGATGCTGGCTCCCCTTTTTCTCCATACCCTTTTCTTCTCTAGTATCATATACTCCCATATCTTTCAGTCTCATCTCTCCATGCCTTTCAGACATATTCCTCTACTTCCAACCTCTCCTTGTTCCCAGCTGCCTGCTAAATAAACCTTCATCCACCTACACCACTAACTACTCAAACCTGCCCATCGTCCCTAAGTTCCTTATTTAGTGAATAAACATGCCCTTCCAGACATTCTGGCCTGAAATGGCGAGTACAGTTGACCACTACTGCCGTGGTCCTTGTCCAGTTAGCCGCCAGTTTGTAGCAACCCTGCTTTGTGGTGTTAACATCCGCTCTTCTTTTTCTCCCCACTGCTGCTGTCTGTTCAGGTCTTTACTCACCTTTCGTTGAGTCTCTGTTTAAACCTCTCTAGATTGGTATTTTCCTGAAGCACAGCTCTGATTAGAAGCACCTCTCTCTGTTCCCTGTGGTCCAAATGCTGCAGCTGGGCTTTCTAGCCCTCAGTGTCTGGGACCAGTCTGTCTGCTTACCTTACTTTGCCTTAATTTATCCTGTGTCAGCAAAACTGAACAGCTCACAGTTTACTTTCCTGCTCCTTTGTTCTTGCCATTTCCTCTAACAGAAATGCCTGTGGGAATCTAACTAAATAGAGGTTTGTCAAGTGATAACCAAAGTAAATATGGGCACTTGTTTTATTTTTAGTAATGCTTGATACTGAGTTACTATTATAGTCAATACATTTAATTCCATAGAAACTGTGAAAGGAGTTTTTGAACATTTGCTGCAAAAGGGAAACTGAGTCTTATCGTTTCTTGAACATAAGTAACAAAATTCAGGCAGGACTGTATTATCTCTGCTTAGTGAATTGATTTTTTAAAATATTGGATTTATTGGTTAAGAATTAAAATTTCAAGTCCAGTTTTCTCTATGTTCTTGATTTAACTGTTTTGATATTTGGTATAATAGTAATTCATCATGGACGTTTCCACTTATTGGATAAAAGTAGGTAAAAGAAAATTTGATGTATTTAAAATAATCTACTTGCATTTAGACCAGGGTGCTTCTTAGACATATGCAGGGATGAGAAAGATATTTTACATTTATCTTATAGATGGGGAGGCAGAAGAGGGTTCGGGCTTACCCCAAATAGGGATTTGGGGGATAGAACCCATTTGGAGAGAAGAAAATAGAACAAGGTGTAAATATACACATACCAGACGGAGAACAATTTATTGAGTGGACGTATTTAGAGGGCTCCTCTGTGCCCAGCCCTGTTAAAAAGCACTGGATTATGCAATTAACAGCACAAAGTGCTTATCCTGTGGAGCTCATTCTGGGGGAAGACACAATGGAATGGCACCTACATGTGTAGGTTGGAGTTTTTCACTTTTTTTTTTTTTAAAGAGGGAGAGAAACATCAATGTGTGGTTCCTTTCCTGCACCCTATACTGGGGACCTGGCCCACAACCCAGGCATATGCCCTGACTGGGAATTGAACCAGTGACCCTTTGGTTCACAGGCCAGCACTCAATCCATTGATCCACACCAGCCAGGGCGGATTCTTCACTTTTAAGAAAGGAAGTGGTCTTGAGCTGTGAAGAAATATGTTTTCAAAGTCCTTACTTAGCACTGTCATGAATCTTGATGTCAGCCTTAAAGGGAACTCAAACCTGGTGGCACTTTACGTTAGCCTTCTCTTTCAGTTGTGATAGAAGCTTCCAGAACCACTCAATAGACTAACTAAATGTTGCATATAGCCTATTCAGTGAGGTTTTGGGGAATGACTGATGGGAAGAGCTACTGCTCCTATATGGCCATAATGAAGAAGAGTAGAAAACGCTTCTAGTAGCAGGAATTTAGCATAAGCAGGAAGAACACTTAAACTACCATTTGTCAGTTTTCCTGAGTGTGGTTTTATGTTTCTTTTCAGAACACCTACATCTGGACAATCAACACCCACTTGCTCCTCAAAAAATGTGACCAAAACAAAGAAACACTTCTCTCAACTAAAAATGTTGCTTAGTCAGAGTGAATCCAAAAAGAATTCAAAGGTGGACTTTAGAAATTTCTTATCTTCTTTGTAAGCGATGGACTAAGAAACGTCTAATGCAGTTTTTGAAACTAAAGTTAGAAAAACAGCTTTTTAAAAACTTTAAATTTTTTTCTTTAAATAGATGAAAACTAGGGTCCAAAAGCAAACTTTTCTTGGCATTCTTCAGTGTTTATGGAGAAAATACCTCATTAGAATGAATAAAGCATGCCTACCTCACAAGGTGGTTCTGAGAATCACAAATAGATGAAAGGTCCTTGTAAGTAGTAAAGATTATGTATGGACATTGAATGGTTACATTGTTTTCTCCTTGCTCAAGTAAGCTTTCATTATTTGTCATTTTCTTTCATAAGGGATTTCAGACCTGTATGAGGGTCTACTCCTTTCTAAGTTGTCTAGAATGCTATTTTGGAAAAATGATCAAGTATAGGTGTTCTTGTTTTCCCACTGTCATCTGCATAATTGTATATTAGTAACATTTGAATATTACTCCTATTTTGCATGCAAAAGTAAATATTCTTTTTTCTTTTTAAAATTTATTTTATTTATTTTTTTAAATTTTAATTGTTGTTGCAGTATAATTTTCTATCTTTTACTCCCATCAAAAGTAAGTATTCTTGATTGTAGATGATTCAGTCAGATACAAAATTTTTCATTTTTACAACTTCCTGTTCTTTAGTAATAATTCACCATACATGGTGTTTCATTTGCTCTGGTGAAGTCTAAAATGTATTACTTCTAGGTCTAAAATTTACACTAAAATAGAACATAGTATAAAAGTTTAGCTGTCTTAAATTTTCTCTGGAACACAGATATACTTTTTTAAAATGATGAACAAGAATTGTACTCAACCTATTTTTTAAAAACTTGAAATAAATAATTTAGATACTTTAAACTATAATCCATTTCCTAGTCTCTCTGCTGCTAAGTTTAAAACATCTTTCTTCCATTAGAGCATGGTAAACTGTAAGAAGCCAAGGTTATTAACAAGTTGGTCTTGTAGTTGTGTGAAACGAAATTACACTTATTAGTGTCAGCATCAAAGAGGGATGGCGAGGGTCATCATTCTGAACTTTAGACTGAATCGCAGGCTGCGGGAGCTGGGCCTTCTCTTTATGTCCACAGCCTAACACTTTAGTCATGATAGATACCTTTGCTCTCTGGCTAACCTCTCACTGGATCATGTGTTCCTCTTAAACTCTTTCTGCTCTTCTGTTCACTTAGCCAGTCATAGTTAGCCCCTTGTAGTTCTCAGAACATGCCATCTTCTTGCCAGCTTTAGGTCTTTCCACCTGTTTTGGCAAATGCTGTCTACTCCAACCCCACTGCAATATGAAGGCCACTCTTCGATTACAGTGCTAGTGACTGTAGGTGACTGTTTCTGACCGTGTCCCTAACTGCTTATGAGCTGTCTGCATGTCTGGGTGATCTCAGTTATGCCCCCAGCACCTAGTTTAAGCTCTGTAAATTCCAATTCCTTAGCCTATTAGAGTTCACACTAGTTAGTTTTAGAACTAACATCCTTTCCAGCCACATGATAGAGACCTAAATAAGTAGTAGTAAAAGTAGGAACCTCTATGTGGGAGCTATTTACATTACCTCAATTCAAAGGAAGGGCACACCATGTGTCTTGACTTTATTTTCTGTTGGGCAGACGGATCTTTGGGCATCTCTAAATGAATATTAAAATTATACTGTGGACATAAAACTCTTTGAAGAAAACAGGACTAAATCTTTAAAACCCCGGATAAAGCAAAGGTTTCTTTAATGTAATACCAAAAGCACAGGCAACAAAAGAAAAACTAGATAAACTGGACTTCGTAATTAAAAACTTGCATGTTTCAAATGGGGATACCATCAAAAAAGTGAAAATAACTCACAGGGAGAAAATATTTGTAAATCATGTATCTGTTAAGGAGCCATATCCAGAATTATAAACAACTCTTAAAATTCAACAATTAAAAGATAACATGGACAAAAAATCTGAGCAGACAATTCTCTAGAAACTCTGCCACTTTTAAACAACAATTAGCAGTAATGCCAGAAATAGGATGTTGGGGATACTATTACTGAAGGATAGAAATGGTATTGCTATACTAGACCATTCCAGAGGCAGAGCTGGAGAAGATAAATCCTTAAAAATGCTTAATTCCCATATCTAAAATTTAACTCAAATATTACCAAATTAGTTGAATATTTTAACACTTCAAGGAAGAAATACTATAGTATATCTTCTTTAATAATTTGATTATACAGTTGTTCCTTTAATTAAAATTCTTAATTCTGACTAAGAATTACTTGTATCTGAGTCCATTTCCTTATATGTAAAATAAAGATGCTGTGAGGACTCAATAAAATGGTACATTGAAAAACACCTAGACGAGTGGATGGCATATTCAAAGTGTTCAAGCAGTACATGCTATTATCATAACTGATTTTAAAATCTATAGAAATATGAGTATCAACACCAGTAATAAAACCATGAGATGAATAACAAAATCCAGCACTACTCTGGTGCTCGTCCTTTGTGCCTCACTAATGAGGCAGGCCACTTGTTTTGAGGTACTTGTACAAATGTATTTGTTGTGGTCACATTGACAAAGACTCTCTTGACCAGACTTTAGACAGGCTTCCCTGAGCCCTCTTTTGTCATTGCTGCCTCCCTAACCCAGTTTCAGCAAGAACCCTACTAAGCCAGCTTAGTGAGAGTTCCCCCACCCTTTACACATGACCACCTTCAGCAACAATCACGTGAAGTCAGTTTAGCAAGAATCCCCGTCCTTGACGTCCGGGCATCAGGACCTGATAGTGCTACAGGGTCTTTGTAATTCTACATCCATGGACCCTGGGATGTAGACCCTCACTCTGCTCCTTGGCTATAAACCCCAAGATGTCTGACATATTCGGAGTTAGGCCCCACCTTTCTTCCCTATTGGGATAGTCTTGCTACCTATCACAAAAGTCTGAATAAAGTCTTCCATACATTTTTAACAAGTGTTAGAATAATTTATCTTCAACAATATTGACAATTTAATATATCTTCACTCTAGTTTTAACTTCATGTTCAAGACAGTTTGATTTTCTAACAAGTGATAGACTTTGATGACTGCTTTCTTGAGGAGGCGTGTAGGTACTGGAAATTATGGGGAGTTTGATCTATGAATTCACTTCATGAAATGCATAAAATCCAAGTGGTTCAATTTCCAAAGTTATGTAGGAGGGTCCTCCCAGCCTTAGTTGGGTCTCTCTGTAATGGTTTAATCCATAGTTGTAAGTACAAGATTTATATACATAAGTTTCTCTGGAGTAATTCCACATATTTTTTACTTTCCTCAAGGATGGACACTAGCAGAAGTTTGAAATCAACATAGTTTTATAAATTTGGCATACCAAAAGGTTGGTTATAAATCTTGGGTACAGTTATTTATTGTCATTAAAGTTAACAAAATAAAATGCAATGGTACAAATGTTTAAAATATAGTTTTTATATATTCAGTTCAGTCTTAAGTCCTTTTAACCTTGTATTGACATAAAATCTTTTATTTCTTTTCAGCCTATCAGTTTTTCAGACATTTTCTTACTAACTTTAATATGCAGTTACACACACATATACATTAAATATACATATAATTTATAATATTCAAAGTATATCTTCGAATCCTTATCTTTTAAATATATAAACTCTACAGAGAAATCATTAGATCATAGTCATTTCAGATTAGTTGTTTCATCATTTCATTCTGAACTTAGGGAAAGATCACACAAGCTTATGTGAAGATTGGGTAATGGAGCTAAGTATCCATGTTTTGGGTTTTTGTTTCAATATTTTAAAATTACATTTACAGGGTATAGAGCTAAGTAATCCACCCATCCAGGAATGGAGAACCAGAGCAAAGGCCAGCAGACTGAATCTCCCAGAATTTCTAGATGGTAAGAATCAGAAAGTTCTGATTCAGTTGGTATGTGCCCTTCTGCAAATGTCCCAAGTGAGTCTTAACCAGGGAGTTTGGCAAACACTGCCAGAGATTCCCAGATTTCCAGTATTCCCCAATTCTGCTTTAAATTCAAGATCTGGTGAGAGGGCTTGTTCTCCAAAGGAGTTTGAGATACTAGGCGAACTGTTCACGCAAAAGCACTTAAGCACTATTGAGTAAGTCACAAAAGCTTTCATCTTGTTCTCTGTCCCTAAGAAACCTGCTATATATAATGAACTGCAAAGCCCATACTTTATTAGCTTGTCACCTGGAATTGCCTGAAATTTTAAATTATGAAGCAAGTCACGGACTTCAAAAGTTGGTCTACAGCAGGTTGTCAAAATGTGGTCCCTAAACCCCGTGACATCAGCATCAAATTGTTAGAACTGTAAACTATCAGGCCTTACCCCAAAGCTCTGAGGGTGGGGCCCAGCCGTCTGTCGTTTAATAAGCTCTCCAGGTGATCCAAGGTTCCCTCAAGTTCGGGAACCACTGGCCAAGCAAAAGGAATCTCCTTCAGCCATTTCTCCACCATAATATCGCTGAATACTTCCAATACTTTCCTCCCTTCCCCATCCCATATCCAATTAATCAGATTCACCAAAATAATCTACACATTTCAAAAAGAACATAAAACTTTATTAAGAACATCTTATATTGTCATCAGATACAGCCAAACAAACAGGGGTAAAGAAACAGGGAAACTTCATCTTCCCATGTGCTATTGCCACCTCAGAACAGACTCATGAGTGGATGGCTGGAATTACAGAGGGCAACAAATGCTCTGTACAAATAAATTCAGTAGGTAACTCAATGCTCCCTTTCTACACAGAGAACTGGGTTTATACTAAAAAAAAAAAAGCTTTCATATAGTGCAACAGCTATGAAACAAGAGTATACCTTTAGGAGCTATTTCTTAATAGAATACAAAGCAGTTTAGTAGCTTATGTTATTTCATATAATATCAATTTCTACAATGGAAATTTCAGAAAGGACATCCTAACTTTCCCAATTAATTTGTATTTGAGTTTTTCATTCTAAAGATTTCTTAGAACCAGTTCAATAATAACAGATGAGTTGCTCATCTACAGTGACAGAACTGACAACCTAGTTTTGTTCTTTTAATTTTGCAAACCAAGATGACTGGGTCATCCAGCTTTTGCTGATTCTGAAGGAGTTCTTACAGAAAAACCCTGATTCAGAGTGCATGTGAGTAAAGGTACCAAAGTAGCTGTGTCTGGGCTGGTTTTCCTAGAGGGGAGGTTGGCTGCTGAGCACAGCTGATTTTCTCAGACTCCCAGGTTCCCCCATGTGGTTCTTTTACTTACTGTAGTGATGGAAGGAGCAGAGGGAATGCCAGGGAATCTGTTCAAACTGCCACTCCAGACAGCTCTCTGCACTGTTTGTGGAGAAAAGAGTGATGGTGTCCATTCAAGCCACAGTACCCTTACTGCAGGTGTTGCGATATACTTTTCTTTTGAGGGGCCAGGCCAAACTGCACTCAGAGATGCATGGTTTGCCTCACATGCACAGTGGAGAAAATGCTCATGATTTAGAATTTGGTATTACAATACCCACACCTAACCCCATTTCTTGAGAAGTACTCTACCTTTTAGAGAAGAAGACTATTTACTGCTAAGGCTTACCATGTTAAGTATCCTAGGGCTGAAAATGTAACTTCTAAATCACACCGTGTATCATTTGTGTTCACAGTTAGCAAATTAACCAACAACCAAAGGTTTGAGGAGGATTGGTCAAGGGGTGGGGTTAGGGGTAGGATTCAGGTTGAGTACTATCACTTCTCACAAACTGCATCAAGCTCTTTAAAAAAATAATGCATTTTTATAATAAATATTTAGAGCTGATACTGGCATTAAAATCAGTATCTAAGTCAGAAGTCTGTCTTAAATGGTGAAAATATTTCAACAGACTTCTA